ATTTATATACCCATTAAACATATTTTCACATTAGTGAAGTTGTAAGTAAAAATTAAAACCAATAGGAGGAACCATCAGAAAGATGAAACAAAATTCAACTTAAGGTAAAAATAAGTGAGAGCGATTCGACTTCCATAGTTCTTTCTTTGGATGTGGACAGCATTTTCTATCCCGAGGCCTCACTTCAGTCTTACACTTTAGAAAAGTCACTTTAGCAGCTGAGTGAAGGATGGATTGGAGTGGAGAGAGACTTAAAACAGGGAAACTGAAGAATATTGCAATAATCTAGCCAAGAAATGAGAAGGCTGAACCAAGACAGTGGTGATGGCTCTTGGAGTGGAGAGAAGGGCCTGGGTATGGGGAACATTGTAGAAGGAGAAATGACAAGAGTTAACACAGAATTAGATATGTGGGGTAAGAGTGAGGTTGAGGATGGCACCAAGGTCACAAGCCTGGGTGACAGCCCTTAACAGTAATAGAATAGGGGGCAGCGAGGTGGCGCAGTGGATAGAGCACCAGCCCTGGAGTCAGGAGGACCTGAGTTCAAATCCAGCCTCACACACTTGACACTTATTAGCTGTGTGACCCTGGGCAAGTCACTTAACCCCATTGCCTAGCCAAAAAACAGCAACAACAAAAACCCAACAGTAATAGAAAAGTTGGGAAGAAGGGAGGGTTGGGGTGGTGGCGATGGAGATAAGTTCTGTTTTGGACATACTGAGTTTTGAGATGCCTACGGGACATCCAATTTGAGATAACCAAAAGGCAATCGGCAGTTGATTGAGAGATAAATGGATGTGGGAATCATCTGAATAGAGATGATAGTTGAACCCATGGGAGCCCATGACATCTCCAGGTGAGAGAGTAGAAAGAAAAGAGAGGAGTGCCCAGGGCACAGCCTTGAGGGATACCCATGGCTGATGGGTGTGACACAGGCGAAGAGCCAGCAAAGATAAAGAAAGAAAAAGAGACAGCAAAAGAAGGAGGCAATATCATGAAAACCTAGAGAGGAGAGAGAATCCTGGAGGAGATCAACAGTGTCAGATGATGCCAAAAGAGGTCAAGATGAGATGCAAAAAGGTCATTAGATTTGGAAATCAAGAGATCATTGGAAATGGAAAATAATTTTTCCTCAACTAGACAATTTAAATTTGAATATTAGTTGTATTACTTTCTATTTTCAGCATCTCTAACCCTCAGTTTCTCTAAAAGTAAAATGGGGATAGGGAAGACGTGGGCAAGAAACCTTTGATCTTTGTGATTTGTGCCTGGTTGAAGGTATCAGTTTTATATTTTGATCTGTTTGGTGTCAACTTCAGTGAGAAGTCCTCTCCCTTTGAATATACTGTGAAAGATGAATAAATGTGCTATTGTAACATTGAGGAGGGCAGTTTCCGTTGAATGATGAGGTCAGAGCAGAGAATTTGGAGGAGGAGAGATGAAGGAGACATCAGTTGTGAATAGCTTTCTAAATGAGTTTAGCCCTGAAAGAGGAGGAAAGATATAGGATGAGAGCTAGGAGGGATGGTTGGATCAAGAGACGATTTTTAAAGGACGGGTCAAGACATAGGTTTGTTTGGTTGTTTTTTAGAGTCTTTGTAACCCCATTTGTAGTTTCTTGGCAGAGATATTGAAGTGGTTTGCCATTTCCTTCTCCAGTTTATTTTATGGATCAGGAAACTGAGGCAAACAGGGTAAAGTGATTTACCCAGGGTCAAACAGCTAGTGAGTGTCTGAGGTTAGATTTGAACTCAGGAAGAGGAGTCTTCTTGACTCCAGGCCTGACGTTCTATCTACTGCACCACCTGGCTTCCCACTTGTTTGTAGGGAGTAGAGAAAAAATCAGTAGTTAGAAAGAGATTTAAAAGATCGGGAATGGTAGTAGGGGCACTCTGCAGGACGAGTCAGGAGGAGGCGGCATCTAGGGTGCACGTAGAAGGATTGACCTTGGCAAAGAGAAGGGCCACCTCTTCACTGGAGATATGCGGGAATGATGTGAGATAAGAAGAGGACAAGGGGGAGGTCTCTGGGAACGGTTTCAATTTTTTTGGAGGCAAAGTCCTCAGCTGAGAAGGTGGAAAGAGGGGGGTACTCTGGGAGGATTGTTTCTCTGGAAATTGAGCTAGTAAATTGATCGGGAAGGAAAAGAATGTTTGCTTTGCTACAGTGAGGCCCAAGTGAGCTTAAGTTCCATAAATTTATAGTGGACCAAATCAACATGGTGTTTGTGATTTTTTTCCAGCTCTATTCTGTAGCACACGAATAGCAATGAAGGAGGCAAATTGTGGGGGTTATGGCACAGTGGATAGTACCAGGCCTGGAGTCAGAAGACTCATCTCATGAGACAACTGTGGCCTCAGACACTTACTAGCTGTGTGACCCTGGGCAAGTCACTTAACCCAGTTTGCCTCAGTTTCTTCATCTGTAAAATGAGCTGGAGAAGGAAATGGTGTACTACTCCAGTATCTCCACCAAGAAAACCCCAAATGGAGTCACAAAGAGTCAGACACGACTGAACAACAAGGTGTAAATGTCCACGCTGAAAATTTAACAATTGACTCATGAGAGCTGCTCCAGCACACCCCTGGGTGAGAGAATGAATGTCATCAGGAGGGCGCCGGGTCTCAGCGCGGGTCAGAAGATGGAAGGAGTGAGAGAGGAAGACGCTTAACATGAAAGGAAGATTGTTATTTATGGAGTTGGCATTCCAGAGGGCACAGAAAGGTCATGCAGATCCGGAGAAGGATGTTGGAGGGGTGGTATTGAAGCAGAGGAGTAAGGAGCAGCCAAGTGGGGACAGGGTAGGCTGGGGATCAAAATAACTGGGGTGGGTGAGTGTGAAGGGATGGAAGTAACCTATCCATTGAGGAGTGAGTCTAGGAAGAGTTTCAGTGGTTGAAGACAGGTGCCTGATTAGACGGAGGGTATAGTATTGTGCCATGTCAGTCTAAAGAAGTACTCTTATTATTGCTATTGTGAACTCCACTTTACTGATGAGGAAACTGAGGCACACAGAGGTTAAGTCACTTGCCCCAGGGGCACACAGCCCGTAACTGTCTGAAGCCAGATTTGAACTCCGGCATAAACCGACCAGAAGGTATGCCAGCTTGTACGTCAGAGGGAGTGTCTTGCTTGCTCTGGAGAAATATGTGGGAGGTCTGGCTTTCTATCCACTGGGTCAAGTTGCCCTTCCTTATCTCAGCCTGTCGAAATCCCTCAAGGCCCCGCTGAAGGGCTGCTTTCTCCTGGGGGAAATCTTCCCAGCATCCCTCAGAACTGGAAAGGATCTCTCTCTGTCCCGGAAGGCTATGTATGCCTGGATCTCTCCCTTGTCCTTATCACCTTCTACCTTGTGTCATTCTTATATGGGGAATATACTCCTTGCATCATACTAATTGACACAATTCTCCCCTCCTCCATCCCAAAGATCTGGAATATCTTTGAAAACGGAAACTGTGTTTTTAATCTTTGTGGTCCCAGCATGGAGCACAGGGCTTTTTAAGTAACAGACACTTAATAAATGTTTGTTCAAGGAATGAATCTTAGAACTGGAAAGGATCTCATCTCAGTTCAAGAGGTCAGCCCTTAGCACCACTGCCAGCCCCCCAGCGCAGTGTTGACTTTACTAGAGGCCCCTGATAAATGTTTGTTGCTGCTCCTAGCGAGGGGTTTGGGGATTTAAGCCTAGACTGGGTAGAAGAGGTAGCCTAACATACTGCTAGGAGCAGTCCCGAGGTGATACAGGGCATAGAGTGCAAGACTTGGAGCTGCCAAGACCTGGGTTTGGATCCTACCTCAGACACGTCCTAGCAGTGTGAACCTGGGCTAGTCATTTAACCTCTCTCAGACTCAGTTTCTTCATTTATAAAATGGGGATAATAATAGCATCTACCCCATGGTGGTGTTGTAAGGGTCCCCACTTATGTAACATCAACACATAATTAACAGGTGTAAATTGCTTTGCTGATTTGAAAGTGCTGTGGTTTTTTTGTTTTGTTTTTGTATTTTGATAGGCTATGGGGTTAAGTGACATGCCCAGGGTCACACAGCTAGTGAGTGTTAAGTGTCTGAGGTCAGATTTGAACTCAGGTCCTCCTGACTCTGGGGCTGGTGCTCTATTTACTGCACCACCTAGCTACCCCGGAAGTTCTGTGTTGTTGTTCAGTCCTGTCTGACTCTTTGTGACACTATTTGGGGTCTTCTTGGCAGAGATACTGCCGTGGTTTGCCATTTCCTTCTCCAGTTCATTTTACAGATAAGGAAACTGAGGCAAACAGGGTTAAATGACTTGCCGAGGGTCACACAGATAGTGAGTGTCTGAGGCCAGATTTGAACTCAGGAAGATGAATCTTCCTGACTCCAGGCCTGGCACTCCATTCACTGTGCCACCTAGCTGCCCTTCAGAATGCTATATAAATGCTAACTATTATCATGGAATGGGAAAAGCCTGGCACTGGAAGCTATGAGACCCAAGGTCTCTACTTCTAAACTAGGTTGCTGGGTGACCTTGGGCAAATTACTTCCCATCTCTGAAACTTGAGCTCCCCCTCTGTGAAATGAAGGCGTTGGATTAGATCAGGGGTTCCTGACCTGTAGTCCAGGGACCCCCACATTTCGGGGGGAAAAATGAATCACATCTTTATTTTCACTAATGCCTAACTAAAATTTAGCATTTCCCTCAATTATGAATTTTTAAAAAATTATTCTTAGAGAAGGGTGCACTGACTTCACCAGACTGCTAAATGGGTCTATGACACAAAAAAGATTGAGAGTCTTTGGACAATTTGATCTTCCTCTTAAGATCTCGTCCAGATCTAACATTCTTCATTAGCAACATTGCCAGCCCTCTCCTTGACCTCGCGTTTCCTCTTTGCCCATCCCTGGAAACTACATTTCCCACAATGCCCTTCGAGTGGGTGGGGCTCGGAGGACACTTGCAGTCACGCGCAGCTTGGGACCCGCCAGCTCTGGGAGGTGGAGCTTCGGCGTTCAGAGAGACGTGGCCGATCTCCGGGATGGGAAGGCGAGGAACTACGACTCCCAGGATGCACCGTGATTCTGCCCCCGGGGGGAAGAAAATGGATTAGTCCGGAAGTGGCATGTGTCCTGCTCCAACTAAGATTCGGCAGAAATGGTGAGTGGAGGATGGGGGTGGTGGCATTCTGAGAGGGGGTGTTCAGCAATCTTGGTGTCAAAATGAGAAAGGTATGGGAAAGAAGTGGCGGTTGAACTGGGCCTTAAATATCACCTCGTCCAGCTGCCCCATTTTACAGAGGAGGTTACTGAGGCCCAGAGAGGGGGTAGTGATTTGCAGCAAGTTCACACAGCGAGCTCCTGGCTTTGCTAGAACCCCTCCCAGGCCTCCTAATTAGCCCCCTACCTACATGGGAGGCAGCTCCTCTGGCCGTGGGGTATCCCTTTCAGCTCACAGCCTCTCTGCCTCCTTCTGATGGGTCTTAGGCCTCGAACAGGTTCTGCTGGCCCAGAGATGACTAGGAACTTTCCCTCTAGTCACACAGCAGCCCGGTTGGGAGGTTTAAAAAAAAATTATATATAAATTTTCTTTCTAAACATCCTCCCCAAGCCCAGCAAAGTCCTGTGTCCCCCACAATGCACAGTGGCAGAATGATTGACAGTGTATGCATGGCACTTTTTAGTAGGTTTCTGTTCCTTAAAAGAATGAAGGGGTGTGTGCTTTACCAATAAAGATCTCTGTTGTCCAGTGGTTTGGGTCATGACTTTGGCTGCCATTTAGGTGGGCTTCCTTTACATGGTCGTAGTAACTGTGTGAGTTGTCCTCTCGATTTATCCTTGCTCACTCTGTATCACTTTATTTTAATCCCATTTAGTGAAATGATGATCCATTATATTCACATGGCACAGTTTGTTCAGTCATGCCCCAGTCGTTGGGCACACAGTTTCTATTCTTTTGCTCTTACGAATAGTGCTGTATGTATATTTTTGCACTGATAGGTTTTTGCAGTAAGTTATTGAGGGCATAAATCCCAATTTTTGTAGCTTTTCCTTCCCACTTTTTCTGAATTCTTGGTGTGTTTGTGGTCTTTCCTCCCAAATGCTGCAGTGCTTAAAGCCGGATTCATTCGCAGCACCAAATCAGCCTGTTCTCTCTCACCCCATTCTGCAGATGTCTGTTGAGAGCTCATGTTCAGAGCCCTCTGAGGCTGAACCCTGCTCTCTTCTCACCAAGCAGTTTCCCAGGCAAGGCTTGGAATCATGAAAAACCATTGAAGTCCCATCTATTTTGTCATCTCTGTGCTAAAGACCTTTCTAACTATGACGTTTTATCCAGAGGTCCCTTCTGCTTCTTTATCGTCAACATCACCAAGAATTTATTGAACATTTAAATACCATGTTACCAGGTACTGCCAAACAGTTGTGGCATTCTGTGTTCTCAGGTCCCTTCCGTCTCTAATATTCTGTTTTCTGAAGGTCATTCTGGTTCTGATAGTCTATATTCTGAGGACTCTTCTAGCTGTATATTTTGAGGTAGCTTCTAGCTCTAATAGGGGCAGCTAGGTGGCTCAGTGGCTACAATGCTGGGCCTGGAGTTAAGAAGACCTGAGTTCAAACCCAGCTTCAGACACATACTGGCTGTGTGACCCTGAGCAAGTCACTTCACCCTGTTTGCCTCAGTTTCCTCATCTGTAAAATGAGCTGGAGAAGGAAATGGCAAACCACTACAGTATCTTTGTCAAGAAAAACCCCAAAGGGGTCACAAAGAGTCAAGCATGACAACAAACAACAAATCTAGCTCTAATATTCTATATTCTGGGGTCCCTTCTAGCTCCAGTGTTCCATGTTCTGAGGTTTCTTCCAACTTTGTGGTTTTAAATAACTATAACACAAAGCAGGTAAGTCCTATGAGAGAACAAAGTGCTACAGATATTCTGGAGGGAAAGATGAAAAGTAGTCAGCAGTCAAGGAAAAGTTGGCATTTGAGGTGACCCTCAGTGGGCAGGCAGGCAGGCCTCAGGGCATAGTGGAAAACACACTGACTCTGGAGTCTTGAGGACCTGGATTCAAATCCTGTGTCAAACACTATAGCTGTGATCAGGGGCAAGTCATCTGACCTCTGTAGACTTCAGTTTCCTCGTTAGCAAAGTGAGAGGGTTGGACCAGTGTGCTTGGGAGGCCCCTTTTAGCTCTGGTTGGATGAGACAATGATTTCATTCAGTTATTTATTCATTTATTCATTCATCCATTTATTTACCTATTTATTCATTCATTTGTTTGGGGGTCCTATGATTTTAGCAGGTAGAAATTGGAGAGAAGACATGATAGGTAGAAGGAATAGGACGTGAATTTGAGGGGCCTTAGAGTCAAATTCAGCCCTTTCATTTTACAACTAGAAAACCAGAGGCCCCTGAGAGGGAAAGTGTTTTAGAGTCCAAAGATTTGGAATTACTCACAGGCTTCTTGACTCTCGACTCCCTGTATCACACCACCATCTCTTCTTTTATGCTGTTTTCTTTTTTTTTATTTAAGGTGGGGGGGGCTAGGCAATGAGGTTCAGTGACTTGCCCAGGGTCACACAGCTAGTAAGTGTTATGTGCCTGAGGTTGGATTTGAACTCAGGTCTGCCTGAATCTAGAGCCAGTGCTCTATCCACTGCGCCACCTAGCTGCCTCTCATCTCTTCTTTTGAAGTAGCCAGGAGAACAGAGGAAGCATCCCTCCCTGCTGTTGTTATCGCCCCATGAGGAGTTAGGAGTGTGAAATGTTGCCTATATTGTCAGTTGCCATCACTTGTTTTGTCTAACTATTTTTCTTCGTTACCAGGGAGATAACTTGTGTGCCCTAAAAGCGTGGGGAGAGGTATATCAAGAAATGATTTTAATATATTTTTCTTTGTTTCATTAAATATTTCCCAATTATATTTAAAAAAAGTTTTAACATTCATTTCTTAAAAATTTGAGCTCCAAATTCTCTTCCTTCTTCTCGTATCTCCTGCCCCTTAGAAGCCAAGCAATTGGATATTGATTAAGAAGTGATTTTGATATAAAAACAAAAGGCATCAGTAAAACTTGTATTTAATAAATGTCCAGAGCTGGAGCTCTTGCCTCCTGCCTTTCAGTCCTCTATTCCATCATTTATCACTGAGTGGGCTCTTCCTTGAAAAGAGGGAGCAAAAGGCCAACATGGAGGGAGACATTTTCCTGTGATGTGCCCTATATTATTATCATCTTGGTGCCAAGGCTTAATGTTTTTCTGTTCTGCATCTGTGTCTGTGCCAGGGGAATGGAGTCCCTGGAGTCCATGTGGTTTGGAGAGAGTGCCAGAGATAAAGCTGGAAACTCAGGTCCCTTTCTCTAGAGTGAAGCTGGGGCCACTAGCCACTGAGCAGGAGACAGGCCTGGCTTTATTCTCCTGGGCAGCAAAGTGACCAGATCCCTCGTGAGGGTTTGGGTGAGGCTGATGAGCCTAGTCACTAATGAATAAGGGGAAATCTGTGTCCTGGGTGCTGTGAAGAGAGGAGAGGGATTGGGGTTTTATTGCTGGGGCTTTGTGAGAGCCGTTGTTTCTGTGGGCTTCTATTTTTTTGTCTTCAAAAGGTCACTGTGGGTGAGAATGGGGCTGTCTCATCTCCATGAGTCCAGAGTTGGGATAATGCTTTGTTGACATTCACTGCTCACATCATGGGACCTTGAAGCATAGAATCCTGAATTTTAGCCTTTCTTATGACAATCACATTTTGCCTTGTGATCATGATTTAGGACCACAGAACCCCAGGGAAACTTAGAATATGGATTGTTCAAATATAGGGACCACAGAACATGGAATGTTCCGTTGGAAAGGACTTGAGAAGGTTCTTGAGACCAGGAAGGATATTTTCCCAGTCAGCTTTAGGGGCCTCTGTAGAAGCTGGGGGTTGAGGCTGGACCAGATCACAGCCAGAAGGCCCAGTCTTTGCTTTATAGGATCATGGTATCCAAAGCCTGGGTCCCTCATTTTACAAATGAAGGTGCTGAGGCCCAGACTTGCCCAGGATGACACAGGTAAAAAGAAGCACACCCAGAATTCATATCCAGCTTCTTTGACTCTAAATCTGGTACTCCTTCTGGTATAGTGCACTGCCTCAGCTACAATGAAATACTTTGAAGAAATAGTACTTTGGACAGGACACCTGGATTCCTTGGTTATTTTCCCATTGCTTGCCCTCATGGCAAAAATTTGGCCTCAGTTTTCCCATCTGTAAAATGGAGAGATTGCTCCCTTTATCTCTTTTTATTTTTTTTTATTTCTAGGTAATTGGGGTTAAGTGACTTGCCTAGGGTCTAAGTGTCAAGTGTTTGGTCTGAGGCCGAATTTGAACTCAGGTCGTCCTGACTTCAGGGCTGGTGCTCCATCCACTGCACCACCTAGCTGCCCCTCCCTTTGTCTCTTGATCTCTCATTGGTTCCATGAATTATCAGATATCTACTTACCCCCAGCTTGAATCTGGAGCTGCCTCACCTAATACTGAGCTTGGAAACAGAATGTATTTACTTTATAAATGATGGTTAGCCTGGAGAAGACAGGCTTGGGGGATGTGAGAATTGTGTTCAGGTAGTTGAAGGGCCTTGTGGAAAAGGGTTTAGATGTGTTTTCTTTGAAGGCAGAAGACAGAACCAGGCGCAATGAATGGGTAGAAGATTTTGAAAGCAGAAAAATTAGGCCTGTTAGTAAGGAAAAACTTCCTAACAATTAACAGCTGTCCAAAATGACATGGCCCAGCTTGGGAGAGGCTGGCGTCCCCTTCTTTGGAAGTAGGTAAACAGGAAAGATGTTACTCATGAGGTGTGGTCTGGTGGGGATTCCTTTCAGGCTCCGGTCAGAATGGGTGGCTGTGGAGGTCCCTTCTAACGCTCAAATTCTGCAACTTTGTGGTAGTTTCCTGACTCTCTCAGGTAATCAGAGTCATAGATCTCTCATCCTCCCACCTGCCATGACGCACATACATACGCGCCTTCCTGTAGGTGATTGCTCAATAATGCCTTCTCTTTTCTCTCCTTCCAGGCCACAAGAACAGACCAGGTGGTTGGGTTTGGCCTGGTGGTCTTCAGTCTTGTGATCTTCATCTACTACACAATCTGGGTGATCATTCTGGTATGCTACTTCTTCCCTGATCCCATCATTGATAACAACCTTCTCCCCTCCGACTTCACAGAGCCCTCTGCTTCCTCACTCCAAAACAGACATAACAGGCATGTTAGTTTATCTGCATTTGCATCTCATCCTTCTTCTAGAGGACAGTGATGGGAATTTCTCTAACTCTCTGTCTTTTGTAGTACCCAAGACAGTGCCCTGAATCCAGGAGGTGCTTAATCTTTGTTTGCTTAATAATCATTTGTTGAATGAATATTATGACGTGCCTTATGTTGTCTTCAAATAGGCACTTTGAATGATCGACTGGATTAAAGGATAAGTGGCTATGTTCCTTCCTTGGCTACTTACTTTCTCTCCCACAGCTATTGCAGCCCCAGTTTCAAGTCTAAAACACCCACTTTCTTGAGCTCTTCCTGGTCATAGGCATCTGCCAGTCAGGCTATGTAGACCAAACAGCAGCTGGGTGCTATTTTCCTTTTGGGAAGTGGGGGGGTGGGTGGCTTCTAAGAGGCCTTGAGTGGAGGGCTCCCAAGAAAACCAGGGTCACCTTGCCCTTCAGGGATGTTTCTGGTGCCCCCAGATTTGGATACTGCTGCCTCTGGGTGGTAGAACTTACTTGGGTGTCTCTCTCTCTCACTTTGCAGCCTTTCATAGACAGTGACCACATCATCCACACGTACTTCCTGCCCAGAGAGTATGCCATTATCATCCCCCTAGCAGCTGGCCTGGTCCTGTTGCTGTTTGTGGGTAAGTAACCTTCCTCCTTCCCTCAGGAATGGGGACAACGTTTTAGGAATGGTTTACAGGATAGCAGCTCTTTGAGCTTCTTCATTGCTATGGATAGTGATTTCATGGGATACTTGCCACTGCATGAAAATGGTGGCGAGGTAGCACAGTGAATAGAATACTGGGCTTGGAGTCAGGAAGACCTGAGTTCAAATGTTGCCTAAGATTCTTCCTAGCTGTGTGACCCTGGGCTTAATTTGCTTAATTGCTTATGTGTGCCTCAGTTTCCTTACCTGTAAAATAAGGGAGTTGTACCTTATGACCTTCTATGGTCCTTCCAGCTCTAAATCCATGATGTTAGGAAATGACTTGACCAAGGTCTTCTGTTAAAGGTGCTAGACTTGGAATTAGAAAGACTTAGGTTCAAATCCCACCTCTGACATTTACCATGTGACCCTGAACAAGTCACTTAAACTTAACCTCTCTCATGGGAAAATATCACCACTGGTTTGCAATGAGCTTCAAATGTGAGTGTGTGTTTATAGCGCTGTGCACACTTTAGAAGTGCCGTATCACTGTCATTTATTATTATGATCATTCGTGGAAGATCCAGGACCAGGACCTAAAGCTCCTGATCTTCTGGTCCTTCCCCCTGTCTGCTAGCTGTCTGAGTAGAAGAAGCGTCATTTATGGAGGGGCCTTGAGAGACCATGGTGTTGTAGTCTCAGAGCTGGAAAGGGCCCATTTTTAGATGTCATGCAGTTCAGTGCCATCTGACATGTGGGTCCTCTCTCTAGCATGTGACCGACCACCTAACCTTTGTTGGAAGACCTCCAGGGACCATTCCTTCCCCACGTGGGCAGGGCGACACCAGCAGCAGTTCTGGCTCCCCTCTCCCCGGGCGTTGCTGTAGGAAGATACTCCCTGGTCTCTACCAGGGACTCGGTCTGTTGTTTTTCAGCCGAGAGGTCTCTCCTGTTGCAGCTCAAGTTTAAGTTTAAGCTGTCTGAATATGAGGGTGGTGAATTTCCTACCCTAAGAGTGTTCAGGGAAAGGGCAGGAGACCCCCTAGCAGGGGGGCGAGGAAGGCATTTGTGCGTGGAGTGGGAGACTAGTTTCCAGGACGGCTAAGATCCCTGTTGGTACTGTTCAGTGTTAATCACTTTCATTGTTAGGGACTGTTGTCCTTGTCCTTGCTTTGTATCCTCCACTAGCCTGCTCTAAAGGGTGGTAGTCCTGACTTGTGAAAGGACATTTCTGTGCTTTTTTGTTCCAGGGCTGTTCATCACTTACGTAATGCTGAAGAATAGGAAGCCAGCCAAGAAGACAAATTGAAGGAGGAGGCATAGCCAGACTTGGGGAGGAGCTGGAGGTCAAATCTTGGACCCTGTCTGCTGCATCCCATCGGGGCTTGGAGGAGACTTTGGGGGCAGAGATCAGAGAGGGTTCTGTGTCCCGGCCTCACCACCTCCTCTCAGGCCAGGGTGGACTGGGACAGGGGTGCAGTCCTAATCTTAGGACACAGCTGATGCTCCCAGATGCCCCTTGAAAGGTGTACATTTTGGTCCTATGGGACTGGCCTGAATTGAGTTCCATCTATGACTGACTGCCTCCTTCATCCTGGGATCCAGCCCGTGTGAGAGGAGCAAGAAGTGGGCATTCCAGCTCTTCTCCCTTGGCCCCTCTCCCAGATTTATGGGCAAAGGAGACGCCAACCTCCTTCCCTCTCTCCTATCCCTCTTGGGCTCTGCAGACGAGCTTTCCTTCACATTCCTATAGGTCCCTTCATTTCTCTACCTCTTGCTCAGTGGAAAGTCAGCTTTTCAGAGGCTGACACAACCTTGGGCTCTTCCCAGGGTACAGGTTCTCCTAGACAAATCCCTGGCCCTAAATTCACTTCCCTGGGGAGCAAGACCAGACCCCAACCTGGTGAAGGGGCCAAAGAGGAAAGATGCTCAATGCAGGCTGTGAAGATTAGAAGCTTTGTGGACCAAACTACTGGCACTGCCAGGTATAAAGGCCTGACAGATACTGTTTGTCCAATGTGCTGTGTCACACTCTGTACTCATCTGATCTCCATGTGGTCCCTATACCTTACCACAGCCCCTGTGCTACTAAGCTTCCGGCTTCATCTCTGTGTTCAATAAATATTTGATACATGTCTGTCTCAGTCATCCCACACACCCCTCATACCCCTGGCCCATGTTCTAATTTGGTGGGGTTGGGAGTTGTATAAGTATAATCTGAACCCAGCTGAGCTTTGTAGCTCAGAGAGAAGAGAAGGGTGAAGGGTGGTCAAGAGGTGGATGGGGAAGCCTGGCAGTATGGGGATTCTTTTCATCCTAGAATCTCCCCCCCCCCCAGCCTGTACTCAAGTGGCCAAAAAGCCAAATGACATCTTCAGACAGGCTGTCCCTAAGTGGCGGGAGAGGGGACTTTCACTGATCCTGAGGATAGGAATCATCAGTGGCTTGGCATTCTGGGGCTGTGCAGCTTTGGGTGGTTTATTTTTTTAATTAAATTTTATTTTCTTTTTCAGTTAACTAAAACTAGGCTTTTACTCCCTGCCATCTTCTTCCCAAGTTGAAAAAAAGAAAGAAAAAAACAAAGCCCTGGTGATATGTTTATTTGAGCAAAACAAATTCCCAAATTGTCCATGTCCAGAAGTGTATATATGTCTCACTCTGCACTCCTCTCTCAGGAGGTGGGTACCATGTGTCATCAGGAATCTTCTGGAATCAATCAGTAAGCACTTGTGATGTACCTTCTCTGTGCTAAACAGTGGGGAGACAAAGACCTGCCCTCAAGGAGATTATGCATTCTTTTCAAAAGACTTTACTTTTTTCAATTAAATATTTTTTTTATCTCTCTTGCCCCATTGCAAAAAAAAAAAAAAAAACCAAAACCTCACAATAAATACGCTTATTCTATGAAACAAACTTCTGCATTGGCCATGTCCAAATATGTGGGTCTCAATTTGTGTCTTGAATCCATTGCCTCTCTATGAGATAAGTAGCTTTCTTCCTCATCAGTCCTCTGGAATAATGGTTGGTCTTTGTGTTGATGACTTTTGTTAAGTCCTTTGAAGTTGTCCTTACAATGCTTTTATAATTATATAAGTTGTTTTGGTTCTGCTCATATCACTCTGCAACAGTTCATACAGGTCTTCAGGTTTCTCTGAAATTTGTCTCCATCATTTCTTACAGCAGAATAGTATCTCATCACATTCATATACTATAACTTGTTCAGCTTTTCTTCAATTAACAGACAACCCTTCAGTTTCCATTTCTTTGCCACTGGGGAGGGGGAACTGCTATAGATATTTTTGTACCCATGGGTTCTTTTCCTCTTTCTTTGATTTCAGTTTAGGTCCAGTAGCAGTATTGCTGGGTCAAAGGGTATGTACAATGTAACTTTTGGGGGGCATAATTCCAAATTGCTTTTCAGAATGGCTGGATCAGTTCACAGCTCCACCAACAGTGCATGAAATGTATGTTTTCCCACAGCCCCTCCAGCATTTGTCATTTTCCAATTTTGTCAAATTTGCATTTCTGATGGATGTGAAGTGGAACTGCTGAGTGGTTTCAATTTTCATTTCTCCAATTTTTAGTGGTTTAGCATATTTTTTAATATGGCTATTGATAGCTTAGATTTCTTTCCCTGAAAATTGCCTTCATATCCTTTGACTATTTACCAATTTTGTGCTTTTGGAGGCAGTTGAAACTCCCTCAGTCCTCTCAGCCTGCCATTAATTCGCCCCTGGGCAAGTCATAACCCCCTGGCCTTCAGTCTCTCCAATGGTAAAATAAAGAGTGGGCTGTGGAATATAGGATCTCTGAAGTTCTTCCCAGTTCCATAGTACGGTATTTTCAGTCTCTCCTCCTAGAGAAGGTGATGTTGGTCTCTGCATCATCCTAAATTTGACCAAAGGACCCTTGACCACCAGGATTTTAAGTCTTTGGACCTCCCACATACTCCATTTACTTCCTGACCTGGGTTTGAGTTCCCAAATTACTGAACTCATCCCCTTCTCCCCAGTCCCTTTGGGTAACCCCACAATCCCACCCAGGGGCAGTCCACCTTGGGGCTGTGGTCCTAGACCGGCTGGGTGGGGAAGGGGAAGGAAAAGGAGGGGGGAGGAAACACCTCGGTACCCTGCAGTCTTCAAATACCATCCATGGAAGGGACTAATCCGACAGGTTTAGCAGCATGATGTGTGAAAAGGTCAACTCGAATCTGCTCAGGTGCCCCGAGTTCGAGGCCCATCTCTGCCATTTTCGCCCTCCATGACCTCTCTGGGGCTCATTTCCCTCATCTGTAAAACGAAGGGGAGGATTGAACTCCCAAGGCCTCTAAGATCCCATTCCAGCTCAAGGTCTCGAATTCCGCGGGACCTATCATTTAACCGAGTAGGAGGGACGGTTTGGGGAAACTGAGACCCGGGAAAGTGATGAGATAGAGCAAGGTCAGGCAGCTGATACAGGGAGGAGCCACGACTCTAACCCACTCTTCTAGTTCCCGACACAGCACTCAGGCAGCAGGAGAGAGCCTAGGCATCCCTCCTCGCAGCTGCTGCCATCTCCACCCCCGCCCCGCCCCCCCCGCCCGCCCCGCCCCGCCCCGCCCCGCGATGCGTTTCCCCAGCCAGCCAATCCGCGGCTCCCGCGCGCATGCTCGAATCCCGGCCCGAGGCAGGGGCGGGGCCTGCGGGCCGAGGGGCGGGACAAAGGATTCGGGCGGGGCCCGGAGCCCTGGCTTCGGGCGGGTGCCGGGGCGGGAGCGTCAGCTTCGGCGGCGGGAGCGATGGCGGAGAGGCCCTCGCATCACAATGAAGTAGGTCCGGGGGTCCGCGCGAGGGCCGGCTGGAGGGATGCGCTGCGGCCGCCGCGGGCCCCGGCGCCCCCCGGCCCTGCGTCTGCGGGCCCTCAGGGCTAGGGAGCGAGGCAGCCCCGTGGAGGGGGACGGGCGGGATCCTGGGGCTCGGGTGTGTCGGGGTGGGTGGTAGGGGTCCCCCGCCCCGGGCTCACGGGGAGCGGGGCGCGCACTTGCACGTGCAGGCGTCGTGGGTCGCGGCGTTCCCGTGTAGGGACGTGCGTTGTCCCCGCTCCTGCACGAGTGGCGTGTGCGCCGTCGAGTCCCAGTGGGCACAGGGGTCCGAGCCCACCTCGTAGCCGCGACCACAGTGAATGCAGCGCTACCTTGAACTCCTGTTTTCTACCCAGAGGACCCGGTCTCTCATCTCCCGACCTGTCCTTGTTCCTCACCCCACCTCCATCCCCCTCAGCCCAAGACTGGCCCCGTCCCTATGTCTTACAGCCGGGGAGAGCGGACCCTGTGTTGTGTCCCACCCAGGAAGGCCGTCCCTATCCCTGTATCTCCCCACCCCAAGATGGGTTGACCCTGAACCTGCATGTTCTCCTCCTCAGGAGGGCTGACCCTATCCTTGCCCTAGGAGGCATACCCCAGACCCATAACTAGCACAAAATAGATGTGTGTGGGGTAGGGGGTGAACATGACAAGACAGCGGCTGAGGAAGCTGTTTGCCTGGAATTTACCTGGGTTTCTGGAAAAAAACAAAACAAGACAAAAAACCCCTTCATTTTGTACAAGACCTTGACTCTCCAAGTCTTCTCTGGACAGGCACAGACAAATTAGCCAGTTCTCCAGGGAGTCCAGCCAAAACTCCGAGCCTTTGGACAGGTGAGGAAGGCAGCCATCGAGGGGCAGGGGGCCCGATCCCAGCGTATCTAAAGCATATCCCAGAGGTGACCAACAGTGAGGAGTTCTGGACTTGGGACCATCAAAGGTGGTGGTCTGGGTAAGGGGGTAGGAGGAGCCGTGCTCCAGAGGCCAGAGGCTATGGTACAGGGCTGAGGGAAGACTGTGAGATGCAGGGACACTTGTCCCTAGGACCACCTGGGGAGAAGCACGCTCTTCTCCACTTCAGTACTCTGAAATAAAAACCCAGTCGCCCCATCTTTCCTAAGCCTTAACTGTATCTCCCTCCCCCAGGTGGTCCCGTCCCTGTGCCTGCATACAGGACGGTGGTGCTGAAGACAGTCCTAGCCTCCCAGCCAGCTCCCAAAGCTGCCAAGGCGACTCCTTCTTTCCGCGATTACTATGGCACTTAAGAGAGAAGTGGAAATTACACGGCCTTTTTGAGATTAGCTCTGAACATGAACATTATGATCTGATATGCATGATTAAGGCAGGGCTTCGAGATGCCATCCAGGTCTCTGTTGACCACCCTTCCAGGGTGAGCCAGCTTATGAAGAGAATCCACTGGGACTGACTAACTGCTTTGGGGTGTCATTCAGTGGGGGAGACAGCACAAAGAACTGATGGCAGTTGGAAAATCATTTTCCTTCCCCGAACCTAAATTTCCTCATCTGTAAAATGAGGAAGTCAGACTCAAATTGAGATGGTCTCAGAGATCCATTCTAGTACCCACACCCCTAGGTTCTATGGCTTTTCCCAATTCCAACAGTCTGTGATTCTTTGAATAAAAAATATACATACATGTTCCCAGCTCCAGACTGACCCTGCCCTCTGCCTACCCTAGAACCAACTGTGCCCCATCCCTTTGGCCTCCCCCAGGCCTGGGACCCTGCCAGAGCCTGCTCAGCAAATCCCAGAGCTCACAGGTCAGCGCAGAAGCTGAGCCAAGCATTTGGATGAGGCAGCGTTGGGGAGAGGTACTGTCCTCTCCTGTCATTGCTGGAAGAGAAGAGGAAGAAAGTCGGGGAGAGGGCTAGGAAAGGTTGTGGGAGGGGGGAAGTAGGAGAGGTAGGATTCGGAGGTTCACTGATTAGCTGTAGGCACCCCCCCATTTTCCTGGCCACCCCAGAGGGCAGGAAATGGCTTTGAAGTGAGAGTGGGATTGAAAGTCCTCAAAGGACTGAGCCAGCCAGGGAGAATTTCACCCAAGCCTTTGTCTGTCTTTCCCCTCTAGCAACCCCTAAAGGAGGAAGATTTTACATCTGTAGTGACCCAGCCCCACGAGGTAGGAGCTTCTGGGATCCTTGGAGATAGAATGGGGGAGAGGCTCTTACTCTGCCACTGACTTAAACTGGGCTTGGAAATAACCCTGGACAAGTCATTTCTCCTCGGGTGGCTCTAGTTTCCTCATTTTTCAAATGGTTGTAATAATCCCTGCCCTGTCT